CTAAAATCCATCCTAAAATCTATCTATTTCTTTTTCTTTAAGCAGAAGTCTGTGTATTTAACCCAAAGAACAAAGGCCTAAAATATTAAAAATGCTTGAAGTCCAATACAGTAAAACAGACAGTTCTTGCACTTTAATAGGTGAGTTTCAAAGCAATAAGAGGTTAGGAGAACTGTGGATATTGATTGTTAAAGGGGTCATGACATACGTCAGCATATCTGTCTCTGTCCATTTGAATGGATTGCTCATTTTGATGCTGCTTCTCCTTATAGACTTCAGTATGGACGGCCATATCCTTGGCTAACATATTTGCATGCACATCACCATGATGCATATAGAATTGCATTTGCAGAATTTAATAATGGCAACCATTCGAATATAGCCATATTTCAGCAGTGTCCAATCCTGCTCCTGGAGAGTCGCTGTCATTTTATTGGCAAAAACATCTCAACACTTACTGGCGTGTCTAGTTCACACTCAAAATTGCCATTGGGTGGTCCATGACGGTGAGGTGATCCTGTGCTAACACAATGAAAACAAGTCATTTTTGCAACTTTTTATCATTAATACTTGTGTTTTGTATTATATTTTGAGTTTTGAAACTTACAAGTTTATAGTAGTGGACTACTATAGTAGTACAATGATCAAAAATCAAAACCATGACGGTGAAGTGATCCTGTGCTAACACAATGAAAACAAGTCATTTTTGCAACTTTGTATCATTAATACTTGTGTTTTGTATTATATTTTGAGTTTTGAAACTTAAAAGTTTATAGTAGTGGACTACTATAGTAGTACAGTGATCAAAAATCAAAGTTCAGTGCATTGTCATGACCCCTTTAATGGGATCTACTAGTCGCTTATCAACATTTTAAAGTGGTTTGAATCTAAATTGCAGTTTAGGTCGAAATGATTGTGTCAAACCTCTTGATGGCAAATGCTACAAATAGTCAAACTGGGATAGTTGGACTGTGTTTTCATAAACGGCAGGATCCAATCAAATAGCTGTCATGTCATCACATCCATTTGCAGAGGTCCTGAAGGGCATAGCATTCGATTTCTAACTTGCTCAAAGATACGCCATGCAACTATGTGAGCACACACGCTCTGCGTTGTTGCATTTGATGATGTGTCAAAGTGCAGTTTGTAACACAGTGCAAGTTCTTTACATGTTGCATTCTCAGAACTGCCACAAGAGGTGATATAGCACGCATTAGCATGAACTTCCTTCTTCTATGGTCACTTTTTTTCGTTTAGGTCAACTGCTGTCATGGTGGGGCAGTAAAAAGAGAATTTTAAGTTAGTTAAACTGTTAAAAGTTACCTACCTGAACACTAACATGTAAGGTTTTATGGCACAGACAGTATTTGAAGGTAACTATTATCGTAGAGTACAATGAGAAGCTCACTTGTAATGTATTGATGACATATATGTGTCTACATTTGCATAAGGTTTGTTTCTGGCCTCAATCCTGAGGTGCAGGATCCCACTACATAGACTTACTGAAGGTGCTGTGTGAAGAGAAAGGGTCCTGTTGTGTATTTGAGCCTTTATATTAATATATTGTTTGTTGTTTGGTCAGCTCCTGTATATGTGTGTATAAAATATGCGCACATGACGTGTTTGTCAGGGTTAACATGACAGTCATAAAATAACCTGTGTACTGTATTTTCACACGACTGAAAATAATGAATAAGGCAATGTCAGTGTGATATAATGAGATGAAGTTTGGTTGGTTACCTGTTCATAAAGTTAGAAAAACAATAGTGAGATATGCACATAATGTCTGTTTCCGGAAATCTTCCATACTACTGAATTCCCCTTGTTTCTGTGTTCTTCACATCTCTCACCTCTTGGTTGTTTTGCCCTCAGACTTGATCATCTGGAGCTGTGCAGTGTTGCAGCATGTCTATGTTTAGAACGATTTCCCCCAAAAAAAAACAATATATATGGAATAAAACAATTCAACAACCAGTTGTCAGTGTTTGCCCTTTTTGTATTCAAATGAATGTAATAACTAAACTCTTATTGTTGTAAAAAGAAAAAAGTGGACCGGACTCCCACAACTTCGAACTTCCATGATTATGAGATTTTGAACAGCATAAAAAGAGTTAAAGGATAAATCAAATAGATGAGAATCCAAAGTAACTCTTGTAGTGCACACATTAATTACCAATTTGGTTTTATAATAATCATCATAAAAATGCATTGGTAACACTTTAGAATAGGGAACACTTATTCACAATTTACTACGACTTTTCCCTCAATAAATTCCTAATTTGCTGCTTATTAATAGTCAGGTAGTTAAGTTTAGGTATTTGGTAGGATTAGGGATGTAGAATAAGGTCATGCAGAATAAGACATTAATATGTGCTTAATTAGTACTAATAACTGGCTATGTTCTAGTAATATGCATGCTAATAAGCAATTTCTGTGTGAAATGCAATAAAACATTAAATAATAATAAATTAACAAAAAATTATAGGAAAGGACGTATATAAGAGTATTTATAGCCTTCTAATTAAATTATTAATCAAAAGTCATAAGGGTCAATTTTTCGAAATTGAGATTTATGCATCATCTGAAAGCTGAATAAATAGGCTTTCCATTGATGTATGGT